ATAGCCTCTGCAGCTCAGCATTCAGGTGACCCGTGGTCCAGAGTGTGCTGTGTACAGCGTGTAGGCTCATTCCACCCTCCTGTGACCTCCCAGCTTCACAAATGTGTTTGTGCCTTTTCAGGGCTTGAAGACCATCACAGATATGGCTAGAGACAGCTCTCCTCAGCTTGCGTCGGCTCCGAAGAGTTTCCGTAAGAATGTGACATGGGAGAACTGTGACGACCTGGGGTCCTTAGGTTAGGCCTTCTCCCTCCCCGGTCTGGATCTGTCTTTAGGAGCGTTTGCTTTTCATGGTTTTATTTTATTTTTTTTTTTGCTTTTTTGAGACAGGGTTTCTCTGTGTCCTGGCTGTCCTAGAACTCACTTTGTAGAAAAGACTGACCTTCAGACTCACAGAGATCTGCCTGCCTCTGCCTTCCGAGTGCTGGAATTAAAGGCGTGCGCCACCGCCCTATTTTTGGTTTGTTTAGTGTTTAAGGTGTATGTTCAGGTGTGGAGCTGCCTATGGAGGCCAGAAGATGGCATTACAACTCCTGGGGCTGGAGTTAGAGGCGATTGTGTACTGCCTGATATGAGTGCTGGGAACCAAACTCAGTCCTCTGCAGGAGAAGTCCCATCCATCACACATGCACGCACTCACACGTCCACACACACGCGCATGCAAGCACGCACGCACGTGTGCACATACAAGCATGCCCACACTTCTAATTCTTCCTGTGGTGCTGTGGGATGATCCTACTGTACATGTGAATATGCATTACTCTCATTGGTTACTAATACAACTGAGTAGCCCATAGCAAGACAGGATAAAGTTGAGGACTAGGATGAAGAAGGGTGGAGAGGGGTGGACACCAGTGACCCTCAAGAAGCAAAACGCTAGCGGACAGGTAAAGCCATGAGCCCCGTGGCAATAGGTTAATTTAAATGTAAGAGCTAGTTGGTAATAAGCGTGAGCTATTGGCTGAGCATTCTATAATTAATACTGGGCAGTCAGGACAGGAAAACTCTGCTTCCATTTACACCGCAGTAATAATTTTCTTCTGTCAGAGTCAGGGAACAGCTTACTCAATTTCCGACTGACAAGAGTATAAGCAAACACTTTCAGGACACTGTGCTTCTAAAGCAGATCTGGTCTCTTTATTGGGGAAGGGGAGAGGCCCTCTGTGGTGCAGAGAGAGCTGGCACAGGCTTGTTCTCAGGTGGGTGTGGTGATGTCGCCGTAGCTTTGGTCAGGATGCAAATCCTCACCCACCACACACTGAAAACTGCCAAGTCTGGCAAGAAAAATCACACTCGTAGATTTCAGAATGACTCCTCTTCCTTTGCGCCTTCTTTTAGCAACTCATCTCCTTGTAGTTTCCTTTTTATTCATACCCACTTGGGTGCTTGTCAGCCTCTCAGTTTCTTGGGCGTCATTAAAGATAAATACCCATTTGTTTCATTTTGCATATCAGCTGGATATCAGCAGATAACTGGAGAAAGGGAAAGCGTGTGTGTGTGTGTGTGTGTGTGTGTGTGTGTGTGTGTGTGTGTGTGTGTGCGCGCGTGCGTGCGTGCGTGTGTGTGTGCATGCGTGCGTGAGCACATGTGTGAGTCATCGAAGAAACCCTCTAATGGAAAAGACCAGATCTGATGTGGATAACTTGTATGAAGTAAAGTTTGAAATTTTTGACTCAGGTGTTGCAGAGAAACAAAGATGTTATTCCTAGAGGCTCCTTTGTGTCTGCAGGACAGGGCAGACAGAGGTCATAGTGCAAGGAGACAGAGGCAGAAGATTTCTTCCTCTTGTTATATTAATAAAGGAGATAACGTTTTCTTCATCTGTTTCAGGCCAGCAATCTGTACGTGGGGCCCAGGATGTGTTTCCAAAGCAAGACTCAAACGCCGAAAGGTTAACGGACTCAACTTGGAGCACTAACCTTGAGTGCTCCACCTTCAGAGCAGATTGGGATTCTGAGTGTGTGTTTGAAAGGACACCATGTGAGCAAGAGACGGTTGCTCCAAACAAAGCCTTCTCCGAGAGGAGACAGCGTGTGTGTATCGAATCCGGAAGACGCTTTCATTCGAGCAGTTCAGAAGAGAGGAGCCACGGTTGTGACTCGGGTCGAAGTCTCCCCCCAAATTCAGGGCCCATCCAAGACGCGGGAAGCTGTGCGGGAAGAAAACTTTTCAGATGCGAGGAATGTAAGAAAACTTTCACCCAGAGCTCCTCCCTCACGGTTCACCAGAGAACTCACACGGGAGAGAAGCCCTATCAGTGTGAGGAGTGTGGGAAGGCCTTCAGCGATGGCTCCTCCTTCGCTCGACACCAGAGGTGCCACACGGGCAAGAGGCCGTACCGGTGCGCCGAGTGCGG